CCCCTCGACCTTTTATTCTCACGTATCGACACGTTTTTTTTTCCCTCTCTCTCTCGTTTGTTGCAGAGGGGCCGTTCCAAAGCGACGCTTTGCTCGTTCCGGAAGGCTGCCTGTTCGACCACCTTCACAATCAGACGAAATGCTGGGAATCTCACAGGTAAGCGGAAAGGTTGAGAAGACGAGGCAAGACGTGAGAGTATCGATTTACATGTTCGCCACGGCGTAACTCTATCCTCGGCGTCGTTCGAGCTTGGTTCACGGGGGTTCCCGGTTCGATGAGTTGATGCACTATCTCTCAGGAAAGTCTCGTTATCTCTGATTGAATGAATTTTCTTGGATTTTTTTGAATTTTTCTTTTTCTTTTTTTGAATTTGTTTGAGACGATGTAATTTTATCCTCCATCGATGTTGATCTTGATTCATTGATATTTCATAGATGGTTTTTTTTTGGTTTGTTGTTAAAAGTCAGGTATAAAGTTTTGAAGGATTTTTGGAAATTTTTATGTAATACCTCGGAGACAACGATGGCTTTTTTAAACGTAAAAATCTTATTACGTTTCGTCTCCAATTCTATAATTTATCCCCCTTGAATAAGACATATTCCTGTCTTAAACGAGTAAAGTCTTGTGAAGATCATAAATTCATGAAACAGCTCGAAATACTCTTCGACCAGGCAGACACTCGTTGATCGACCTCCTTCGATCGTTTACCCTACCACTCCAGAAATGAATTTCCGTCTAAGAGGATTGAATCCCCGTTACGATTCCTCGTTACGGTTTCTCTTTGATGCGAATCCCTACGGCCTGTACAAGTTCAACACAGAGGGAGGAAAAAAAAAAAATAAGAGAGAAAGAAAGAAAGAAAGAGAGAGAAAAAAAGATTCAATCCGGAAATTCACTGTTCCAGGTGGAACGCGACCGCAGCAGACACCTGCAGAGAGAGGAATATGAATCTGAGGAGCTTTGCAATGCTGTTGCCCTGCGGAATATCCTTGTTCTCCGGCGTCGAATTCGTGTGCTGTCCGAAACACCTCAAAGGTACGTAACGTACGTACATTCTCTCATATCATCATTCACATTCATTCATCGACTCGAATCTTGAATATACGTGGAACAGCACCTTGGAAACCAGGTATGCACACAGTGAAAACATTTTCCAACGTTACCGTTATAGGCCAAACACGGGTTTCTAGATCTCGTGAAATTACGCCAGTTCTCCATTTATGTTTCCGTCAGAGATCCTTGACTTGACGTGCAATTCTGCTTTACAATTATAAATGACGTCAACAGATGAGAAAAAACTCCAGATATAGATCCATGTATATGGTTTATATAATGCTTCGTGTCGACGAATCATTGCGTTCGATCAACGTGACGAATAAAACTTTGATTTTTTTTCCTATAAAAAAAAAAAAAAAAAATAAAAACGTGAGAAGAAACTTTAAAAATTTTGTCATCACGGAGAGGAAACAGAGAGGAAACAATGCCATTGAACTTACCTTTTGTTTTATCTCGATATCTCGATCGGTTGTCAAGGATTTAAAAGTTTTTCTTTATATCTAAGACGGTGCAAATATTATGAATGGATCCATTGACCTATATTTTTTCTTGGAAATGCGTATTGTTATGTTTTTCTAGGAATCGTGACTCTCTTTGCCTGGAATTTGGGATAGGTCAGTGAGACAAGGTACGAGCGATAAGGATAACAAGATGATAAACGAAATCGAAAAATTACCTTTTTTTCTTCTCTTTACACGTCGATATCTCGGGAACCGGAAGTCGTATCGAGATAAACAAAAAAGCGGTTTAAAGAGCGTGATTTCGCACTTTTAACGATCGTCCATTCGTTGACCGGAAGGTAATTATCTTTGAAATATATAACGATTCAAATTTTAATAAGATTTTAATCAGATTTAATGAATTACCTTTTTTTTTTTACCGATGATATCTCGAGAACCAGAACTCGTATCAGTACACAAAAAAGAGCATTTTAAAGAGTTTCATGTTTTATAAGTTTCATGCTTTTACTAGTCTTTCATCCTTTAACCGGAAGTAACTATCTTCGAGGTTATAATAGTTTAAAGTTTTCTTAATTTTAATGGAATTTTATCGAGTTTTAAGATAAATTACACGTTCATTCCTGAAAGAATATTGTTATGTATTAAAGATAATCTGAATTAATTTAAAGAGTTTGATTAAAGTGATCTTTATTTATTCAATTGGTTTGAATTTAATTACGTTGATTAATCAAACCGGTTTTAAACGTTTCGTAACGTTTTCATACTTACTATCTCACTTGATATTTTTTAATTCCTCAATTGATTTTATCTCTGAAACTTAGAAACTCGAATGGTAATATATTTCACTGTGTGCATACCTCATTATATAGTACCTTGCGTTTTGCACGTTGCAGCAACTACTAATGCCTCACATTTGCATGTTAGAAAAAGTGGGAGCAAACGCGAGGAAAACTGCGATTAAAGTTAGCTTTTTACTTAACGTAGTTATTGAATTTTCGCAAGCTTTAGAATATAATAGCACGGAACATTTAGACGAATCAATAATTACTCAGATTTATTCGGTAAAATTGATCAAATTATTAATATCTATAATAATTATTGTATATACACGTCCATTTATCCTCAAAAGCATAATTTTTCGATTTAATCTCTTCCGTACAATAAAGACTAACCTATATTATTAAATCTTTAAATTTCCAAAAATTCCTTTTTACATTCCTAAATTACTAAAATTAGAACTAGATTTTTTAAACTATCGTCTATAGAATCCAATTTATCCAAACTCATAGATCATTTTATTTTATAGTATAGTTATAAATTCAATCGTATCTCTGTAATATTGATAAATTGTGCGTAATTATCGATTCATCCTCGTAACAGCAAACACGATTTTAACGGCCTCGAGAGTCGAATTTCCGCATCGACCGTCGACTCTCGAGGCAAAGGAAAACATGTTATTGTAATTCGATCGAGATGGAAAAGCAGGGAGAGAATATTACACGGCTCGACATATCCGTTTAGGTAAATAACGTCGGCGTTACCGCGAAAATGCATTCTTTGTCGCATTCGCTTTTAATCGGGCCTTTTCCCGCCTCGAGTATACTTTTCTGGAATCCATCGAGTCGCATAATGCCATTGAATCGTTTCAACGGTTCTCCCTCCCCATTGTTCCGTTAATCATCGATGTATGTAAATGCTTTTAACCGATCCACAAAGGAGGCCCGACGTTTCGAAAAACGCCTCTGTGTGACGTGTTCGCAAACCGTTTAAGAGGACCTCGAACAGAAACGTCGAGTAAACGAAAAAAGAAAGAAAAAAAGAAAGAAATATCGGAGTATTAAAATTTATTCAACGTTTGTTCCTGTATTTGCTCGATATCGAGTGGGGGAATAGGGGGATTCCTGTCTGGCAAGGGAAATCTTTCTGGATTTAATTTTCAGGGAATCGGGATAAAATTTCATTTTAGATTAAATATTTAAGAATTGTTTTTTTTTTTTCAACAATCCTTGTTTTGCATTTGATTTGATGATCTTCTTTAATGCAATTTCTATTTATTTCCTCTTCTACTTATCCACTTCCTCTAAAATCCCTTTAATTTTTACACTTATTTTGACGGTTATCTGTTCCTCTCTCTAGAATCAAAAAACGAGAAGAGTATTCCAGAGAGAGATATATTAATCGGTAAATTAATTTCACGAGAAGTCTCAGAGCATCGTGCTTCATTCGCTCGAATCGAGTTGTTGAACAACAATTTGAAAAGAGCAGAGAAAGAACGAATGAGAAAAAAGAGTATAGAGAGAGAGAAAGAGAGAGAGGGAGGGGGAGTGCATTAAGAAAGTGGGTATATTTCGATTCACCCTCTCCGTCTCCCATGACGAGGGTAGTTTACCCTTGCCGCTTCTCTATCTTTCTCCCTCGTGCAATCAATAACGGCCGTCGACGACTGCGCAACGTAACACACTATGGGTTTTCCCTCCGTACCTGCGCATCTTTTCTTTTCAATCCACGGATACCCAATAACCATGTGTGTCGCTAATAAACTACGGCCCGATACGGAGGGGAGGGTTCTACTATCCCATCCACTGGTGGCCACACTGTCTGTGCGCCAGGCTCGATTCGCGACACATCCCTGCCTTTCCAACCTGATCAATAGGGAATGACCGATGAATCACCCGACGAAATTCCAACCTCCGCCACCGCAACGATGATGGTCGATCGCGCGTGCCGCTTCGGGGGGTTTATTATGCACGGTTGTTGACGAGCTTGCGGCGCGATGCCTGATTCATAGAAGTGGTTTTACGGGGATGAATATATCGGGATTGATGGATTTGTTTTTTTCCTTCTTTCTTTCTTTCTTTCTTTCTTTCTTCATTGCTTCGTCCTGAATAGCACTCGGACAAATTATGATCGAAGATTATATATGGTCTATCTTCGACGTTGTTTTCTTCGAGTTATTATTTCGCGAGAAGTGGAAGAGTAGATATGAAAGAGTGGATTTGAATTTTTCAGAGAAGTAAAGGAATATATAGTGCAAATTGTTCGATAATATTTGTTAGAATGGAAGCAATATTTGTTAACATTTATCGTTTCAATATTCACTAAATATATAATATATATATATCGATCGAATATATCAACTGTCAATACACAATTTTATTGTGATATTGGACAACTTGTATATAAAATTCACAGCAAACGTGTAATTCGTGTTACACGATTGTGCATGCAATAAAATATAAACAAATGGATTCGTGTTCAGTTTATACGTTCGTATACGTTTTATTGAAGACAAGAATTATTCTGATGAAATATGCGAATAATTGATTGATGCTAGAAAAGATTGATATTTAAAGGGGAGATTTCTTTTATTCGTTATATATTTTATTTCATGAATTTTTATCATCGATAAATAAATTGCAATATCGTCCACACAGAGAAATTGAAATCGATGTTTTTATTTGCATTCAATTCGTTGCGAAAAGATTCGTTTATCGATATCGAATTCTCTTATAATAAAAAAGAAAAATAGACTTCAAGTCGAAAGTATTTTTGTGCATATTATCGATTACATTCGTTCATATAGAAGTTCTTTTCATTCTTTTCATTTCTTTCTGTTTTAAAATTATAACCTTGAATGTATATTAATCCTTTTTAACCCTCCACATCTATGGATATGATATCTTTTGACGCGATGACGTCCGTACGATGCTTTGAATGATATGTCTCACGTATTTTCTTATCAAGATTCCCACAAAATATCTCGTCTAAAGATTCGGTATAGAAATCAGATCGCAAGGCATCTCATTTACGTATACTAAAGAGTTAAAAATACTAAACATAGCATACGTTTTACAATTTTCATCTTATGAAATCGCAAACTTAATAAAAAATTAATTCGTATTTTTGAAATTTAATTTTCGATTGTCAATCAAAATCCTCGATTTATAAATTTTTGATTTTTGACAACAATAATGACAAATATTTATATCATATATAAAAAAAACAAAAAGAGACACGACGAATCTTCGATGCTCTCGACGCATCTTCCTCCACATTACCCAGTTCACCGACACGTAACGCAACTTGAGTATCGTTAAACTCTTCATCTAAACCAACGGATACCATGTAAAGCTACTTGTTTGCACATTTTGTTTATGGCGCTATTTTTAAACAAAGAGCCAACTGTCGTTCACAGTTTTCAGCGGCGGCAATTTTCACGGACGAGCTGGCAAAGCGTTCATCTTCCCTCTGTGTCCGTGAAAATATGCGGAAAACCCAGCTTGGGTATTGCCAAGAGTTTGATCCGTTCCTGATCTCTTTTCGGTGTATCTATCGTCGATCGAATCTTGATATTCTTTTTCGTCCACGATCTCGAAAACGTGAAATCGAGGGATGATACACGTATATACTTGGAAGGTTGGTTCGATACGTGCAATAAACGTAACGATATTCTGGTGGAAAAAGTGCCAACACAACCGCCGCGTGACCCAGATAAAAGGATAGCGGCTAGGATACGACGACGGGCGAAGCTTTTGTCTGCCTTTGCAGAACTCGAGAAGTCAGCTCATCAGCGTGTCTATTCTCGGAGAATGGGACATCTCGAGAACCTAGTTAGTCAAGACGGCTGTCCTCTTCAACATAACAGAGACAAATTAGAGTTTTTCACGGTGCAGAAGGGACGCGAAATCGCGGATGGCACGCGGTGGTTGCATACCACTAGGGGGCGGATTTCGAAATGCGCGCCACCATGTAGCACGCGATTTGCATTTGTTCTACGCCCAGTATCATTATCGAGGAAGGTTTTACCTTTGCTATGCAAATTAAGTCCTGCGTCTTCTTTTTTAAAAAGAATTGAATTGAAGTTTATTTTATTTTATTTTAATTTATTTATTTTATTATTATTATTATTATTTTTCTTTCATATATGTGTGCATTTAAACAGTATGGATTTAAATCTTTGTCGAATGAATGTTGGAAAATTGATTCGTTCGTCGAGGTTTTCTTATGTTTTGGATATTGTTAATATTGAATATTTCAAGCTATTGGGAGAGATTTTATGTATAATTTAAAAACATTAATTTTGAGATAATATTTTTTTTTTTAATGAAATTAAATAATTCTGTGATAGCTGGATTGAATAAAAAAATGGTTTAATTTTAAATTATTTCATTATTTGAATGAAACAATGAAATAATTTTCTTTATTTGGTATTTTTTTATTATTATTTATTTGAATAAATAAAAAACTGTGTGAAATTTATTTACAAATAATATGATTTAAAAACAATATTTTGAGATAAATTTTCTAAATAAAACAAATTTGTTTTATTTATTATATTTGATGACATTTCCTTTGTCCAATTGATTGAAACTGAGCAAATATTTGTGAAAATAATAAATCAATAAATTACTCATTTGAAAATATAAAATTTATATTTTTTATTAATTAAATTTGTACTTTTAGTAATATTCAATAATATTTAATAATGAAATTAAAATGAAATTAATTAATTAAAAACGTAGTTTCGTATTGATGTAGTTTCTAATCAATACTATTCTAATGAATAATTGATATTAATAAAATTTTCTAATTATATTTATCATTTTACTAATTGTAATTTATGTACTGTTACATAAATATTTTTTTGAAATTATTATGAAAAAACAAAACGAATATATTTGAATATATTCAAAATAATTGATAATATATTTTCTATTTTAGTTAAAAATAAAAAAAAAAAAAATAAAAAAAAAAGCGTAAGTATATATTTATATTAATATTGTAAATATGTTAATATGCTTTTGAATATTTTATATTTTATATGTTAGTTTTTGGCTTAATATCACATTATCATTGATTTTAAATACGATACTTTATCATCATGTCACTCATCAAAATATCATATATGTTAAATGATAATAAAATATTCATTTCTTTAAAATTCTTAAAATTTTTTGGCATTTTTTTCTAAAATTAAAAAATGACTGTAAAATTGATTGGAATTATATTGTAAGTAAGGAAATAAAAATTGTTATTATTATGTCTTGTTATAAAAAAAAAAAACAAACAAATATTATATAAATTCTTGGCTATTTTTTTTACATTTCTATTCTTAAAAGGATTCTTTTAAAAATAAATGAACAGAAAATTAATTCAATAAATTCGACAATTTTAAAGATCTATTAACATTTACCTACAATTTGCAGAAAATTTGAAAGCCAAAAAACCGATCGACTTGCCGATTCCAAAGGGTGTGGACGAAGATCTCGACGAAGATGAAGATGACCTTGAAGACGATGATGGCTTGGACACTGATGCAGATGATGAAGATGATTCTGAAGCTGATCCCGAAGATGGACTCAATGATCAACCTGATGATGATGAAAGTGACGAGGAATATCTCAATGATGATTACAATTACGACACTACAACAAGGTAAATCGATATTAATTTGATTTTAGTAATGATAGAACTTTTATATATTTTAACAGAATTTTGAAAAATTAAACATTATGAAACAACTTTAAATTATTTATATAAAAATACAAATTATTATAAATTATGTTAATGTAAAAAAAAAAAAAAAAGAATCTTTATGCGAGAATTTATCGAGCTGTACTCGCTTGCAAAAGGAATTAAAATCACAAAAGAATGGAATTTATTAACTACGTTTAGTTATTTTTAACATTCGGAAGATTATATAAGCGATTTATACTTTCACTAGGAACAGAAATTCCAATCTTTCGTATGAAAATAATTGCATTAAACTAATCCTGAATTATATTTGATATTTGATTTTTTATTTCAATTATAATCATTTCGATTATAATAATTCAAATAAATATATATTATTTCATATTTCTGCAAATATTAGTACATCTATCTATGTTAATATTATTGTAATTCATTAATTTCATATTTTAATTAAATAGTCTTTAATAATATTAATGCTTAATTAATGCCTCTATTAATAATTATTTATTGTTTGCATAATTGCAATGATATAATTTATAATATAATATAATATAATATAATTTATAAAATCTCTACGAAGATTCCCATCGTAATAACTCTCTCCAACATTTGTCCATATTTTTGATCAACAATTATATTAATATTTTATTTCTATTTAAATTCAAATGTTTCAATGTTTCTTGCGATATTAATACTAATATAAATAATTAAATATGCTCATTTTGTCCAGTCGATTATCAACAACAGTTTCAACTACGGAAAAACCGAAACAAGACGTAACTGCAATGCCATTGCCAGTTAGTACGAGCACACAACAATCTTCGCAGTCACAGAGCACACCGGATCCATATCTAACTCATTTCGATCCTCGTTCTGAGCACCAGAGCTACAAGCAAGCACAAATGAGGCTCGAAGAGGTGCACAAGGAGAAAGTAACAAAAGTAAGCGGGTGATGATACCATCTATCTCATTCTAATTTCTCTTACTTTTTACACAAGAAAAAGTATTATTTTTATTAAGTTATTATCTTCGTTTTTTGCTTATGTTGATTTTATTTTAGTTTCGTTGGATTTTAAATAATATGATTTTCGAAGAAAACGAATTGAATTTGAAGAAACAGCGTATCAAAGAAGACGTAAAATCGAGTTTCGAGAGATAGCTATTATCTCGCGGGACACTAGTGTCGAAATCTTTGTGCTACAACGTTTTCAGGTGATGAAGGACTGGAGTGATCTCGAGGAAAAGTATCAGGATATTCGTGCCCACGATCCAGTTGCTGCTGATGCTTTCAAACGATGGATGACCGCGCGATTCCAGGAAACTGTTGCTGCTCTAGAAGAGAGCGGTGCCGCGGAGAAGCATCAATTAAGCGCTATGCATCAGCAAAGAGTACAAGTATGTGATTTAGAATAATGGATGCAAGTGGCGAACATTTTTCGTTTAAGAAAGAAAATTTTTATCGATAGATTTAAATAACTGAAAGATACATTTGGTGTACGAATCTTAAAGTGTTTTCAAAATTGATCATATTATCATGATAAAAGTTAAAAAAATGGGCAATCTACATGAGAAAATAAATTGAAAATAATATTGGTAAATTGTATTTAAAATGACTTTAATATGCACATATCATAATAAAAGAAAAAAAAGATATAAGCGTCATAATGATATTTATTAAACAAAAATAGGCATTATGTTATAACTGAACATATATTTAAATTTTCAATATTAATTTGAATTTTGAAAAAGTATCATTTTATATTTTTCATTTAATTTTTCATGTAGATTTATATCTTTCTGAAATACATTATATAATTGGAATCTTTTTGATATTTATGAATGTTGCATTTGTCTTTGAAGATAAAAATAAAATATATTAATTTTATTGATTTATTAAATTAATTTAGTTTGTATTATATATTTATTTTATGTATATATATATTTTTTTTAAATATTATATCTTCAAATTTTTTAAATAATTTTCCTTTCCTGCAATATTGAAATTTAAAAAAAAAATTCTAATTCGATTCAAATAAAATAATGTATAATTTAAAAATTTTGAAAAAAATTTTCTATTTTTTTATTATTTGATTTTAATTATAATTTATATATCATTTATATAATATACAATATAATATTTATTATATTATCAATTTATAGGAAGCTGTTAAACAAAGGAACGAAGAAGCGATGTCATGTTATACAGCTGCTTTGAACGAGACACCACCAAATGTAAGTTTTTCAAGTATTTTACCCAATCGCAAATAATTTATTATATTTATTATTATTTAGATGCATCGCATTCAAAAATGTCTCCAAAAATTGCTTCGTGCTCTTCACAAAGATAGGCACCATACTATTGCTCATTACAAACATCTGCTGGACAGCAGTTTGGAACAAGCTCAACGTGAAAAACCAGCAACCTTGGAGCACTTGGCGGAAATCGATAGAATCACCAATCAGAGCCTGTTGATGTTAGAACGGTAATATGTCCGTCGATATAGAGTAACGTCAACGTCTCAGAATACTAGATTCCAGATTTTGACAGAGCAGAAAGAAATATACTTTGATTTAATAGAATACTATATGGAGGATTTCATTCATTATATTTAGGTATCCTGATTTAAGCGCAAAAATTGGCCGCCTTATGGATGATTACGTTTTGGCCCTCAGGAGCAAAGATGAGACTCCTGGACTGCTGTTAGCGATGACACGAGAAGCGGAAGCAGCCATTTTAGATAAATATCAGGCCGACGTTACCAGTAAGCAACAAGGTAATTTTAAAATTTAATAAATGAAAATGAAATACAACATAGTATAATATCGACTATATTTAAATGAAATCCATTGAATCTGTAGAAAAAGAACATCAAAAACAACTGGAACGAGCACGCAAGGAGCAACGCAAAGCTGAACGTGGTGAATTACGTACAGAACAAGCACAACAAGAAGAAAGCGATTCGATAAATGATAATAAAGATATTCAACAACAACCAGAGCAACCGGCAGCTATGCACAGTGAAGGACTTGTTAGGGCAGCTCATAGTTTGACACATGACATTTCCCATTCTGAACCGGTAAATATAGTTAGATAATATCGCTAGAAAAAAAAAAATATTTATAAGAAATATTTATAAGAAATAAGACCATGATATAAAAAATATTTCTATTTTATTTACGATATAGGGTTATTCTGTAAGAAGGGAGATGTATCACAGAGAAAGTCGATCTGTCTACTTTACACTTGCATTTGCTGGAATTGCACTTATGGCTGCAGCAGTGGTAGGTGTAGCAGTATTCAAAAGACGCAGTGCAAGAAGCCCTCATAGTCAGGTATACCTAAAATGAAATTTTAATTAATTAGAAAAATTAATAATAATTATATTATTAATATATAATTATATTATTAATAATAATTATTATTCTTAACGTCAAACAGGGATTTATTGAAGTTGATCAAGCGGCCACACCAGAGGAGCGGCATGTTGCAAATATGCAAATCAATGGATATGAAAATCCTACATATAAATATTTCGAGATCAAAGAATAATTTAATCACCTCGGTCTACAAGAGATTTTATTTGAAATTGATCTTTAATTGTCCGTTCTCGCGTATGTTCTTCAAGAATCTCATAGTATTTTGTTAGTGTAAGATATTCAGGTTCGAGGTTCTTCCGAAGATTCCGAAAATATATAAAATCTATGTCTTAGTGATATATGGAATAAAATCTGTCCATAGACGAATAGGTATTGCGATACGATATCATTATGTGTCACATCTCTTTATAATAACTCGCGACGTTATACGAAACATAACGATTTATGATATATATATAAAGCAATTTTCATATAACATCTAGTAGATAGAAATGTTATGAGTCGATTATACACTCGTATCAGAATTATCTACAAGACAATTCGAAAGGGAAACAACATGCCAATGTGCCATATGGGAAGGGCGTAATGTTGTCTTCGGAAGTATCTCATACACGTTGTTTTCGTTTGTCATACATGTTATTAACAAAATAAATAAACAAATAAACACAGGAAGGAGCGCTCATAAACAAATCTAAAGAAAAAAAAAAAAAAAAAGAATCATCACTCATTAATGTTATACGCGATATCCTTCAATTAGAAGGCTGTGGACTATGATCAATTACGGACATTGTTTTTTCAGCAATAGGAAATGCGTGTGCGTTAGAAGAAACGTATCTCGTGATGACGCATTCATAATATGCGTGCTGTTGCGCTCTTTGCTGTATATTTCTAAGTTCTGATATTTTTCGAGATAGTAAATGGCAATAAAAGTAAATGCAGCTTAAATAATACAATGAAAATAAGAAAAAAATGTTAGCAGCGGTAGCGGCTTACACAGCATAAAAATATAATCCGATTTAAAAAAAAAAAAAAAAACATGATAAGCATATTACATAGCACTATGCAAAAGTGTATGCTCTACGATACTCTTAAAATATCAGAACGGCGATCAATGCACGTTCACCTTCGTGATTGCAGCTGTTTTTTCATCTCCGTTCGATTCCCACTGCCTGATTTTTTCAGCGACCTTTTCAGTACTTAACGTCTACTTAGATTATACAACTTTATACTTATAAGAAATTGAATCATGAACGTATCTAAAGTTATTATGAGAAGCAAGATATTTTATCATTCCATAACAAATGTCCACTATCTTATCGAGGTGCTGCCCGAATGTATGCACGGAAAATATTCGGTAGCTTTGTTCGATTCGGCCGAGTTATCGTCGTGTTTCTTAATCGAAAACGGACGAATCGAAAGAATCACGTCGAGGTTGCCGAATAAGAGGAACAGTTCAACACAGGAGTTTTTTTGAGTGGCATTAGTACCTCAGATTTAGGTCGAATAAGTGGCGAATGTTAAAAGCAAGCGTGTTTCTGTCTTTTTTTTTATTTCACCAATTTTTTTTTCTCTCAAAAGATGGTTCATACAATAACTATCTTAGGATTATTAATTATATATGATGACGATAATATATTACACGTTTAATGCTTATATATTTGTATATGGTCAAAAGATAGTAGGCTGCGCTTTAGCCAGGGTCGCGTGGGAAAGCATAGCTTTCGTTTGTTTTAATAAATATTGCACGTTTTTTTATTTATATTATATTTCTTTGTATCAATAAATTAATTATATTAATACACACACACATATATATATATATATACATACATCAATTTGATAAGTGTTTATATAATTATAACAAAGAGTAACAATAATTTTAGTCGCGCAAGTGTTATGTTATTAACGATGGTTTAAGATGTTTTTATTTAGATACTATTTATATCAAAAAATTATATTTTCCTTCTCATTTTCTTTTTATTATAATAAAATCGTTTGTTTTATTTATGTTAATTTCGCTAAAATAAATTAAACGGATGCGCAAACCGAGGACGTTGAACAATAATCCTTGGATTCCTAAGCGCACGTGAAGCAGCTGCCTTCCTATTTAGCGAGCATAGTAGACTGTCTCACGCAACTCCGGTGGAAGAACGAGCCAACGAAAAAAATATATACACAGGCACACACATTCGCGCATCGCTGAGTGTTAAAAATATTATTTTAGATATATTAAAATGATAGCAATTAACCATATGTCTATGGAGATACAACAAAAGCATAGCATCAATGCGTTAATAATAATATAAATATCTATATATATATATATATATAAATATATATGTTCATGTGTGTATGTGTGTGTGTGTGTGTGTAATATATGAACAATATATATACATAGATATATATATACATATGCATATACATGTACACCTATCAAATTAACTATACATTATGTACCTATAGCATATAGTCGTTAAATGACAAGAAAAAAAAAACATTGACACGTCGCGTAATAAAAAAAATTTGACTTGATACGGATTCACAGATATTGATGAAAGAAAACATGTTGTTGTCTCTAGAAAAAGAAAAAAAAAACACAAAAATGCTATTTTTTTTTTTTTTTAATTGTTAATAATCATTCCAATTATAATTTTTATTTAATGTAAAATAAAAAAAAAGAATGAAGATGGTATGCGACCATATGACAATTGGCCTACGTTGGCGGATGTGCTATTGTTTATCATATATTATATTTGTCAAAAGATATGATGCGAATAGCACCTGTAATGCTTGCCAAATTTATCTCGTATACCATCTTTTAAATAACATAATTATAAAAAATTTGAATTAGTAATAACAAAATTTTGTACATGGCAAAAAAAAAGAATATCCATTCCAATGGAGTTTTGATAAAAGAATACTCGAGTAGCATACGAGAACATAATGTTATTTCAATTATAATTGTATTGATCAAAGAATTTAAAGAAAAATTAATCATCAATATTCAAGCTTGAAAACTAGAAGCATATCAGTTTTTAGTCTATTCGTTTTAACGATAGAGCCATGTCATTTTTTCACTTCAAGATATTGTGAATTTGCATCGAGTCACTTTGTATAAGTTTAAGAATTGATTTTTGTAAAGAGGTAATAAATATTTACCGTAATTAATTAAACTTTAGCTTAAAGAAAAGAAAAATAAATGGAAAAAAGACATGTGAGAAGTGAGGAAAAGAAAGAAGAAAAAAATAAGAATGAAGGAACAAAAGAAAAAAATAATACGTCCTTTGCGTAGCGGTTCGGATTTAGAAGTTGGCGAAAATGGGAATAATAACGGAACTAAACTTTATTTTTGCAGTTCTTTCGGTATAGATCGATTCTTACGATTTTATCGTGTCTTTAATGAACTTTAATATCGTAATAATGATGAAATACAAGAATCCGATTGTACGTGCAATATATCAATACTCGTGTATTTACACGCCTATACACAGCGCTATATATAGTTTTCGATCTTACGTCTTACGCATTTGTTAGCATTTAAAACAAAGTGATTTTATGTTTAAATTAAAATTCTACTTGATATCATCATATTTTTATGTTACATATTTTTGTTGCATTATTCATTATTGTTTTAATTATCGGCAATTGAATCATTTGATTAATAATAAAATATTTGGTTTTGTATAAACGGATTGATTGACGTAAAATGAAATCAACGTCGGATTAGATAAAAATTGATATTTCATAAATATCGCCCATTTGGTCGAAAATAAAAATACACAAATAATAGAAAATGATACACAATCTAAATCAAAGAAAGATGATGAACTTTTTAAGTTGCTTTTAATTGTAGGATCGGAAACTTCACGTTTATTATAAAACATTTCTATGACGAATAGAAAAATTACTAACCGGAGAATTAAACTAACTTCCTCGTCTCCCTCTTTCTCTCCATTACACAAGAATTTCTCCTCGCCACTCACAAATTTTATCGCATTAATACACTCCGTGAAAAGAACGTATTGTGTTTGTGGATATATGTAATTTTACTTATCAATAAATAAATTACAAAGATAATTACTAATTGAATGTCAATCATTCTTCAACATCGATATTAAATGAAATATTCTTATTCTGTTCAATATTTTCTTAAAAATTTTTCTTATGGAATAATAATTGAAATTGATTGATATTTAATTTAATTGAATAATATAATTATTGTTAATGTTAAAAAGTTACTTTTTTTATAAATTTAAAAAAATTATTGAATTTTAAATAAGGTCATATAATGAATTAAAATATGTAATAGTTAATTCATGTATGTATAATTTTGTATATAAATCAGAAATACTTGGTATTTATATAAATGTAATATAAAAATATGTTTTACACTAAAAATTAGATAATAAAATTACCAAGAATCATTTTCCATACTTAGATATCGTTAATATATCTTTATGATTAATTCATTTGTCGTGACTGGCTGCTTAATACATAAGAATCACGACCATTGAATCACAAATTATTGTTTGTCATTCACCAATCTGACAAAATTAGCATTGAAACGGATGTACGTTACTTTCGTTTCTTTAACATTATAAAACAGTAACGTCTGGCAGTATATGTCTGGTAAGTATTTTTTTTTATATTAATTATAAAATAACTGATCCATTGATATATATTAATTGATACTTTATCATAATAATTATTATTACAAGATATTATAATCAGTTTGCAATAAAAATTCATAAGTATTTGATAAAATATTAATATTCAACATTTTTATTAATATGATGTAATGTATTTTAATTAATAATTATGTGCGATTGATTGATAAAAAATTTGTTCTTTATAAATTGTGTACTTGTAAATATTACATTTAATTTTGAATTAAAATTAAACGAAAAAATTAATTTTCATTTTAATACAAATAGAATAATAAGCGAATTTTAAGTTTCACTTACAGCTATATGCATGTATATTCTTTAAGCGATTTGTTACTAGTAGTAGTTGTAGTTCATTGTTGAACACATGTGAAAGTCAATAACATTTAATTCGTACTAGTGCGTGATATTATAAGATTGTATTGTGAGATAATACTATCGATCGAAAAAACAATATGGCGTCCACGATAAATATCTAGGAAATGTCAAATCCAAAATAAAAATCAACATTATCAGAGTATGACGTATACAAAGATTTTAATAATGTAAATATAATGTAGTGCAAATCAGAACATAAAAAATAATTAATAAGTGACCTGAATATCTTTAATATCTTAAATTTGATAACCTTACATGTTAATATGATGAATTTTGAAAGGTATTAATATTTATTATTAATTATGAAGATATTCATTTAAACAATTTTTAAGTATTTTATACTTAAATTATTGAAAAATAGTATTACTAAAAAAATATTAGTCTTTACAATAGATAGCAATGTGATTTTTTTATTTTTATAGATTCTACAATTATTGTTTGTTTTAAAATAATTAATAAAAAATTTATTGCTAAATGAATAAACAAGACACAGCTCAAATGTCACTCGATGATGACTTTGATAGACCATTTGAAGATGTGGAGCCTTTACAATGGGGAGCATTACGGGAATTATGTCATGCTAATGCAGAATACTTCATGCCACATCAAGATGAGAACAGTATTAGAATTAGAGCTGCACTTATGGCTATATTAGATCATTTGATACAATTGCAACCATTATATAAAGAAATTAGTAGAATTGCACCAATGTTTGATCTTGATGTGCAAACACCTGGTAATGGATATAGAAGTTTTCTGGTGCTAATAGACAAATGCATTATTCATTCTCGTTCAATCTGTCATCAAATATATTGTCAAAAAGATTCTATATTTTTTCGTAAAAGCTATCACATGAGGTAATTATGATTTGTTTTAAAAAAATTATTAAATATTTGTATCTAAAATTATATTAACAATAATAAGTACAAATATTTATAGGGAAATTGAGGCTTGCTCACAATTGTTGGCATCTTTGTGCACTTGCTTAGAACATTTACAAACTCTTTATTCATGGAGTGAATATATAAATGATGGAAAACCATCTCTTTTTATAGGCGATAATCATAATCCTCATGAAATTTTAAATAAAGTAGAAACCATAAATCAGTATTGTTTTTATGGCAGATGTTTAGGATTTCAGGTAATGATAAAAACATATCTAATTAATGATTCACTATTTTTTGTCATTTTCTAATAAATATAAAAATGTGAAATATGTAAATATGAAAAATATTTTCAGTTTCATGATAATTTAAAACCTATTTTAAAGACTATACTGGTTTGTATGGCAACATTCAGTGAAGCATTTTATGCTAATGGTACATTGTTAGCAAGATGTGCTAATTCTGTCAAATATATGTTAGATCCTGAAATAAGAGCTCGTCGTATCGTCGATGTATCTCAACGTGCTGACATTTCATTTTGTCAAGCTTTTTGGTTTCTGAATGAGACTGGTAATATACTGTGATTTTCAATCATAACATATATATAATTTATTTTAAATGTAATAATTGCTTGTTTTATTTTGATAATTGTTTTAATATATATTATATATATTATATAAGTTATACATTTTAGATATTGCACGGAAATTGCCTGCTATAACATCTTCTTCTTTGGCAATAAATCAAGTAATTTCTATTCCACCTGAAGAGTTGACACTTTCTACATTAAATGGATCAACTATATCAATTCCTATACCAAATAGTCATATCGGGAAAAAGCCGATACATGTTAGACTGTTAAGTTCTAAACGTCGTTTAGGAATGGTAAAGAGATGATTTATTTATTTCATATAAATAGCACTATTATTATTTTTAGTCATTATTTTCCTTTCCACATTTCCTTTAATAAAGTAGAAATTTTTGTGAAACATCAGTTTCACTCCTGTGCAGTACATGCTTTTCTCAGGTTGGTTCAGGTGGAGTAGGGGGAGAATTGCATGGATTGTCCAATGAATTGATAATTCATTGTCATGGTGGAGGTTTTGTAGCACAAACTTCTTTATCTCATGAAACATATTTACGTGGTTGGGCCATAAGTCTTGGTATACCTATTTTAAGTATAGATTACAGTTTAGCGCCTGAAGCTCCATTTCCTCGTGCGCTCGAAGAAGTGCTATATGCATATGCATGGGCTTTAAATCATGCAAGTACATTGCTTGGAAGTACAGCTCAAAAAATACTTCTTGCTGGTAAGATGTAAAGCATTGCATGTTATTATTTTCCTAATATACCTTTATGCACATTTTTTTTTAATATATTTAATATTTGCGTATAAATAATATAATTTTTTAATAGGTGATTCTGCTGGGGCCAATTTAAACTTGGGAATTACTTTAAAATGTTTACAATTAAATATTAGAAAACCTGATGGAATATTTATGGCATATACACCAGTACTTGTTGATTTTGTATTATCACCTTCGCGATTGCTTTGCCTGTCAGATCCATTATTACCTATGGGATTTCTTTTACGTTGTTTGAAAGCATATATCCCTTCAGATAATAAAAAAGTTACACGGTAAATATTATATATTAGAATAAGTCACAATTAATTATTTTTTAATTATTTTAATAATTATTTTTATATTTCATTTTATTTTTTTTTTTATTTTTTAGAGAAAAAGAACACGATGTTGCTGAATGCATAAAATCAGATTCAGAATCTTTTGCTGAAGTAAGTGAAAGTGATTTAATAGCATTAGCTCTGAGTCCTAATGGAGATGAAACAAATGATGCACATAAGTTAGCATCTTTACCATCTGATTCAACTTTGAATTCTGTTACTTTAACAGAAGCTGATGGTAAATAAATGAAATAAATGCAAATATAAAGATATAATTAAATGTTATGATTTAAACATGATATAATTTTTATAAGTTTATTAATTTTTTATTTTAATTTTGTTTTTTAATTGTTTCATAATTGGTTTTATATTATACTTTATATTTATATAAATATTTTTTGTATATTCTTTGATATAACAGGAATGGAACATCTACAGGAAGAAGCAAAATCTCAAGAATATATTAATAAATTTTTTGAACTTTATCGAAATTGTGGAACAAATACTTCAACACATATTGGAAATGGTACTATTAGTGAAGATAATAATATTTCAAAAAATGATAGATCATGGTCTTTTTTTGGATGGTCTCTCAGTGGAAGGCACAAAGAATCCAGAGAATTAGATACAGAAAATATAAAAAGTCCTTTGGAAGAATTTATATTCACAGTACCCAGAGATCCATATTTAAGTCCTTATCTTGCATCGGATAATCTTTTAGCACAATTACCACCTATTAAAATGCTTGTAAATTCTTAAATCTTAAATTTTTTATAATATGAAAAATATGAATATAATATTAAAAAAAAAATTATATATGTAAATAATATTTTATAGACATTAGAATTGGATCCATGCCTTGATGACTCGGTCATGTTCGCAAGAAAACTTCGATTGCTTGGTGTATCAGTCACGCTTGATATATTGCCAGGTTTACCGCATGGATTTCTTAATTTAACACCAGTAATTATTTCTTTTATCAAATAAAACATTATCAAATATTACATTATATTCAATTATAGCAAGTTATTTAAATTTATAGGTTTCAAAAGAAGCAAGTGAAGGATCAGATCTATGTGCAAAAAGATTGCAGGAATTATTGGCATTATAATTACATACAAGGAGCAAATATTCATTGAAGATTAAATGTTAATATGCAAGAACAAAGTTTCTTTGCTATAATTCTTTTAGATATCAATTTTAATTAATTTTTTATGTACAAAGACTAAAAATAATTTGCAATATCTCAAAAGTTTATGTATTAATATGTGAACGTGAATGTGTTTTACTCTATTTACATTTTATATTATATATTTATATTTTATTAATGATATACTATGATATTTAATATCTCTTTTTTAAAATCATATCTCAAATTATTGTACTTAAATGATAATGTCAAAATGTTAATATCTTTGTATTTGTATTATGTTCACTGAATATGCAATTGCGAAAAAAAGCAAAAAAACTTTCAATTTTCTAAAAAAAAAAAAAAAAGAAAAAAGAAATTTAAAGAATAGGGACTACAAATATGTTGGTTGCATAAATTATTTTAAATTGTTTGTTTTCAGCATTATAATGCTGTTTAATACTTTATGCAGCTGATACAAGATATTAAATATATTAGGTATAAATAAAGTATTATAAATGTGATATGTTTAGTAAAATAATATGTTTTAATATGTATAATGTTGGCAATAATTGAAAAATTAATTTTTTTATTTTGATTATTAATAATTTATGGAATTGTTAAGTTATATTTTTTACGTCGATATACATTGTATTTGTCAACTTTATTAAATTATTTATAAAACTCTATTTTATAACTTATATAACACACTGGGAAGTACAATAAAAATAATTTTATTACCAGACTATGAAAACATGTAGTTTTTAAGATGTGATAAATTAATGATTAATGATTTTTATTGATTAGTTTGTTGATTATTTGTTTGATTTGTTTTGGGACGTAAAGTTTTTTGTAATACATGAGCATCTGCAGGTTCTATTCGCTTATAGTAATGTTCCTTTGTTTCGACTATTTCAAATCCAAATTTTTTATAAAAGTCAATAGCTCCTTCATTACTTATTTGAACATGACTGTAAAGAAAAAGTATTCTTAATTATAAAAATATAAATTTTTATTTACATATTTATATAAATATTTTGCATATATAATAAATATAATTAAATATTTAAGTATATTAATACTTACAGAAAGATTGAATCAAAATTTCCATCTTTATAAACATAATTTAAAACATGTTGCACCATTACAGTACCTATTCCTAATCTTCTATAGGGATAAAGACATCCCAATGTCATAATATATAAACGTCTAGAATTTTCAGAAGTATCTACTCGACAACAAACTGCACCAACCTAAAATAAAAATTTCTTATAAAATCTCTCATTTGATTTAATTATTATTCAAAATTGATATGTTTTTTAATATAATTTGCATAAATACCATATAACATACCACTATATCATTGTAATATGCAAGTTTTGCTAGCTCCCCAGCTTCTAAAACATCTTTATAAAATTTTTCATTATATGAGACAGGAAACACCACTTGATTAAGAAGTTTGAGCTGTTTTATGTTATGTGGTGTTACATCTCCTAACTCTATTTTTGATCTGTAATTTTAAATTTTGTATTTCAATTAAATATAAAATTGGTAACATTATTCTTTTTTATGTTTTTTATATTATATATTTGAATATTTTAAAATAATATATATAAATATATTTATATTTATATATGCTCATAGGTATAAATTAATATTTTTTTTTGTTTTTGTTTACAAAAACAAAGAATTTCAGATAAATGTGAAATTATAAAATATGAATAGAGATATATCTTATTGTTTTTAACAATTTTCTAAATATATTATTCTATTAAAAATTATTTTTACATATAATTTACTTTTTTTATTATGTTTATATTATAATCTAATTACACGTTTTGAAATAAACATGTCTTTGAGAATAAAAATATTTAAATTTTGAATTTAAAGATAATCATTGTAAGTCATAAACAAAATAAAAATCGTATAAATTTAGTTATAATATACTGGAATAAAACAACTGTAATTGCTTTTAGAATGTTTTGATTCGTGATATAAAAATATAACCTCAAAACTTTTAGAACTTACCTAGTCATATTAAGAAATACAACAGATTTGAACGTTACTTGAATAAATAACAATAACAAGTTTTAATATGAATTGCTTTCTAAATAAATTATAAACAAATAAGCCGTATATATAACACAATAACGTCACACGGCTTCGTACTTTTTTATACTGAAATTATATTAGGGGAGTAGGTTAAATATATTCCTGTTTCTTCATATTTTGATAAGTTTTAGAATACACAAAAATTAATTACAAATAACAAATTCAATTATAAAAAATATTATGTAAAAATATTATTTATATAAAAATAATTTACATTTTTACAAATTATACATTTGAAAATTCATATACTCATAAAATTTTAATAGAATACAATATTTGATTTAATAATATGTTTTATATTATTTCAAATTTATTTATATTTATTTCTTTTATCATTATATTTTATTATAATATTAAATATATAATAAAATATATTTAATCATAAAATATAAATAGAAAATAATATAAATATTTAAAATAACATCAAATTATTGTATGTATGATTAAAGTATGAATTTTTGTTTGTATATATAAATAATTTAGATATCTACAATTATACGATATTTTTTAATATATTTTTAATAATTAAAATCTCAAAAAATAATTTTAAATAATAAATATATATTATACATAAATATAAATACATAAAAATGTTGAGTTTAAAATTTTATATAAAATAAGGAAACTATAAATAAAAAAATATTACTTTATATATTTTGTCTTTCATAAATAAATTTTACAATAAATCAAGTTAAAATATTTTATAAATTAATGATTTGTTTTCACATATGATTTAATATTTATTTATAGGAAATAACTAGTTGAATCGATTAATATATTCAAATATATATGATTCCATTTAAAAAAATTGACAATCATTATATATATTAAGGTATATTTTATATTTTCTGAATTGTCCTAGATATATATTACAAATTAATTATTTACCAAATAATTTGAAGAGAATTTTTTATGAAAATATATCTAATTGATATATATATGATTATACTCAAAAAAAAAATATATATATATAAGCAAGAACAGCAAATAATAAGACAAGAATAGAGACATTCGTAAAATTCGAGAATCAACGCTATTTTTAGAGTGACACAAATAATTAATACAGGACAGAAAATAATGGCAGAAAATTAGAGATAGGATAAGAATTAACTGCCAGCGTTATCTCTAAAATATCAAACATATTTTTTTAAAAAATTATCTTTTTAAAATTACAGATAGTACTAGTCTTAAATTCCTATTTTACTTTATCTTGTTTTTGAAGAAGTGTCTTTGATATTTAAGAGATGATATTTTATAATCAATTTTTATTTTATGTATATCTTTATTCTATTTATTTTCCTTATTTAATTAGTTTCATTTTAAAAATGGCCAAATTTTTATTCTATTTATTCTATTGTTGAGCCTATCTTCTATATGCTTTTAATGCATGATCATAGACAAGCAGATAAACAGAATATTAATTCACAATTTATTTTTATAGTTCAAGATTTAGAATGTATCTAAAAATTTTTATTGTATATATTTCATTGCATTCTATCATTTAATTCTTTAATTTCATATATTAATGATTTTTAAATATTTAAAAAAATTTTATTTTGGAAAAAATTAAATATTAAAATTTAAAAAGATATAATTTTATTTTTGGAAATCAAATTTGTAATATTAATAGTATATATTATTATATATTAATTTCCATGGTATTAATATATGAAGTAATATTGCATTGTAATAAATTCGAAATACATAATATCGATTCTAAACTATATTATAAATAAAAATCTAATAAATTAAAAATAAATTATAAATAATAATATATAATAATATAATTATTTTTCTATTTTTTAAAAAATTTATTTCTAATTTTCGTTTAATAAAAACAGTTTTTTCTAATTAAAAAGATATATATATAATGAAAGTTGAGAATGATAAATAAAAGATATTACCTTAAAATATAAGATAATATAATATAATATAATATAAGATAAAAAATACATTGAATGTCAAATCTATTATGCAGTTTATCTGTGATATTATGAGATTTAAATTCAAAATAAATATATATATATATATATAAAACAGTAGAGTTAAGAAAAGCGTTGTATATTGTACTATATTAAACGTTAAGTATAATTTATTTTTTATATCATATTTTTTTATTTTTAATGACAATGTCATGTAATAAAAGAGAACATAATGAAAGTGATAATGAAGATTGGATTGGTCCATTACCTTCAGAAGCTGTACCTCAAAAGAAACAAAAAGGTTAGAATACCATAACTTTTATTTTATATTTATTCTTTCTACTATTTTATGAATTAAATAAGAATTTTTTTTAATTAGTTTTTTATATCTCTTGTGTATAAAATTTTAATATGATTTTGAATTATAAAAAAAAATATTGATATTTATATGAAAAAAAAGGGATAACCTTAAATTATTATGTTATTATTTAAATTTATATTTTAATATTAATGATGAATAAATAAATAAATAATATTTGAATTTCTTTTACTTTGATAAAATTATGAATTATGAATTTAATAAAATTTTTTAAACATTGTACATATTTAATTATATTAAATATAATTTTTAGCATTATTTATTTAATTAAATTTATTTAATTTTTGCAGTTCTGGAATATGAGCAAGTATACGTAGATAACTTACCATGTTGTGAATGTTATGAAAAATCTTATATGCACAGAGATGTAATCACTCATATTGTGGTAACAAAGTTAATATTAATTTATATATAATAATTTTAATAATAATAATTTATAAGTTATATAATATAATTTTATATTTATATAATTTATATCTTTATACAGATCAAATTTTATTATAACGGGTAGTTGTGATGGTCATGTTAAATTTTGGAAAAAACAAGAAGAACTTATAGAATTTGTAAAACATTTTCGTGCACATTTAATGGCTATACAATCTATGGCTGCTAGTTGCAATGGTGTTCATGCATGTACTGTGAGTTTAGATAAAACGATTAAAATTTTTGATGTTATCAATTTTGGTAAATAATTTTATATATATATATTTTAAATTATATGTATGTTAAATTATATATATATATATTTTAAATTATATAATTTAATTGTTAGTAAAATATTAATAGTTTTATTTTAGATATGATTAATATGATGAAGCTGGATTATATACCACTTTGCTGTGAATGGATATATTCTCCTGGTGATGCAATATCTGCAATAGCAGTTTCTGCTCAAGAATCTAATAAAATTTTTATTTATGATGGACAAGGAACTAATATACCATTACATGTTTTTGAAAAATTACATACTAAACCTGTAGTTGCTATGAAAGTAAAAAAAAAAAAGAAAAAAAAATAGCATAAATAATTTTATTTTCTGATTTTATTTATATGATCTTATATAAATTTTTATTTGTAGTATAATTCGATATATGAAACATGCATTTCTGTGGATAAAGCAGGCATTTTAGAATATTGGACAGGACCTAAAATGGAATATAAGTTTCCTAAATGTGTCACATTTGAATCTAAGCTAGATACAGATTTGTTCGAATTTGCAAAAAATAAAACTTATCCTTGTGGATTAGCAATATCTCCAGATGGTAAAAGATTTGCTTCTCTCAGTGGAGATCGAAAAGTTAGAGTTTTCACTTTTCGTACCGGAAAATTGTATAGAATATTTGATGAAACATTACAAAGATTTTCTGAATTACAACAAGTGACGCAACAATTGCCAAATATGGAATTTGGACGAAGGTAAAATTTTTTTCCAATTAAATTAGATTATAATTTAAATTCTTCTTTATTAAAATTTTAATTATATTATTAATTATATTATATTTAGAATGGCAGTAGAAAGAGAACTGGATAAAACAGAAACAAATTTAGGAAATATAGTTTTCGACGAATCGGGTTATATAGTTTTATATAGTACAATGTTAGGTGTAAAAGTTGTAAATTTGTATACAAATCGATGTATTAGAATTATGGGAAAACCTGAAAATATTCGTCCTATGCAATTAGCTCTATTTCAAGTATGTATAAACAAATTTGTAAATTTATTTTTATTAATACTAATTTATATTGTAAAAATTTATAGGGAAAAGCAAGAAAAACTACAGCTGCAGTGACTGTAGAGATGGAAGCTGCAGAAAATCCTACATTAGAAATGAATCGTCCTGATCCAACTCTTTTTTGTACAGCTTATAAAAAGAATAGATTTTATATGTTTACAAGGAGAGAACCTGAAGATACTAAAAGCCAAGAATGTGATAGAGATGTTTTTAATGAAAGACCATCAAAAGAGGATATTATTTCCTCTACAGAAGCTACAAATGTACAAAAGATTTATGATCAAGCAATTATTCATACTGCTCTTGGAGATATTCATTTAAATCTTTTTGGAAAAGATGTTCCGAAAACAGTGGAAAATTTTTGCGTTCACGCAAAAAATGGTTATTATAATGGACATATTTTCCATAGAATAATTAAAGGATTTATGATTCAAACCGGTGATCCTACTGGAACTGGTACTGGTGGAGAAAGTATATGGGGAGGAGAATTTGAGGATGAATTTAAATCCCATTTAAAACACGATAGACCATATACTTTAAGTATGGCCAATGCTGGACCAAATACAAACGGCAGTCAATTTTTTATCACTTTAACACCAACTGTAAATTGAAATAATATTCTTCTTTTTTTTTTTTTTTAATAACGATTAATATTATGTGTAATTTTTAATTATAATTTTTAATATATATGTTAATTAATATTTATTTTATATCTGTTTTAGCCTTGGTTGGATAATAAACATACTGTATTTGGTAGAGTTATAAAAGGAATGGAAGTTGTACAAAATATTAGTCAAGTAAAAACAAATCCAAAAACTGACAAACCTTATGATGATATTCGAATAGTTAGCGTTACTGTGAAATAAAATTTCAAAATTAATATATAAAATATTTTTATATAAATTTCTTTTATGGTATATGTACTATAAATAATAATAAATATAATAATAATAACAATAATAATAATAATAATAATAATAACAATAATAATAATGATAAAAATAATGATATAATAATAATAAATTCTTAAAATCCTTATTCTTTATCCTTTTGCATATGATAAAGCAATCCTCTCAAAAAACTGTACGTCCCTGTGCAGCATACAAATGCATTTACACTAAACAAATTGTAATTTTTTGGTGTGATAACTAGGGAATATCTAATGAATAAATAATAAGATTTTTTTATTATAATATTATAATTTAAAATAATATATACATATATATCTTTGAGAAAAAATAATATTATTTAAAAGATACCTAGACCATATAGCACCAGTAATCATAAGACTTGCAGTTTGACTAAGAGAAATTGTTTCTGGTGGTCGTCTAAGATCTCCAATTCCCGCTATTACCAAACCCCATTTAAATGTAGGTGCCCAGAAGAATACTGTAGTTGGTCCTATATTAATAAAAATGTTAATAATAATTACAAATTTTATAAATTGTGTTCATAAAAATTGATTTCAACCTGCAGGATGTAAAAAAATAGGAACGAATCTTGATGGAAAAACAGAGGCTATTTTTATCATAAGTTGTTGATAAGGAGTCTTTTTCTTTTCTTCTGGTGGCTGCATTATATGCCAACAATAAAATTTTAAATCGTAAAATAAATAGATTATAAAAACGTTTTAAAATCGTCTAAAAAAAAAATTATATATAGAATAATTCAATATAAAATTGTAAATGATCATCTAAAGAATAAAAGATTGACAAGTGGTACAAAAACATATAGTTGGTGATGCTTATAAACAAAATTTATTTTGAAGATTAAAAACAATTATATTTAATTCTTTAATTCTAATCAAATTATTCATGAATGTATATTTATGATTGTTATTATAAATATTAATAAATATTCAATTTATTTTAATTGTGAAATAAAAAAATATTTTATAAACAATTTTATATTTTATGTATGAAATAAAATTACACTAGAATATTAACAAAAAATTTAAGAAAAATTATTGAAATAAATATTATCTACATTAAAATTTTTTCAAATATATATTTTATATAAATATATTTTATTTTTTTCTTTTCGTTATTCTATTTTGTTAAATTATTAATTTATATTTTCAAATTTTAATTTTTCTAGAACAAAATTTAAAATATGAATTAAAAAGTACTAAAATATTGATAAAATATCTAAATTTTTATTTAATTAAATTTCATAGTAATTTTATATGTTTAAACAAAAGATTGAAGAATCCTTTTTGGTAACTTTTGATTGCGATTCGAAAATTTTTAATTACTTTATTTATATTATATACAAAACATTATAACCAATTCGATGTAACGAAAAATTCAAAATTGTATTTTATATCATTATATAAATATGTAATTCATTAAATTTCTCTCTTAAGAAGGTCTCTACGAAAATATTGTAAATATTAAAATATAATAGAATATCTTTCATATTAAATTTAAAATGAGTTGCAGTAAAACGCAGGGAACATGGAACGATTTGGAGGAAATGAAATATTTGCTTTGTGCTATTGAGTGCTGGTACATTTATTTTTCCTATTATTCTTCAATTAAAGATCCAATCTTTTATAGTTATAAAGAAAAAATCTTTGCGAAACTGAATGTTTAAAATAAACTTTTGAAAATATTGTTTTGCAATATAATAATAATTTTTTTTTTATAATTTAAAGATTTAAATAAAGATTTTAATAAATTATAAAACTGGAAATAAAAATATAACATATTTTTATTTTTCTTTCAATTATTTAATTTTTTGCCATAAATTATATATTTATTATCTTTTTTAATTTTTATTAAATTCTATGTTTCAATCTTGAAAACTAATATAAATCTGGAACGAAGAAATATTCTATATTTTTTTTAATTTTTTCATCAAGTAACTTTATTTCGTAACTTTCATTTTCATTCTTTATAAATAAACAATAAAGAGAAAATATAAGTAATACATTTAGAAAATAAAATCTTAATAGGAAAATAACAAAAAAATTATCTTATTCTCAAACTTTACAAATTTATTTTTCAGCAAATGTCCATGTATACCACCCACACCTGTATGTTCTGTCCTATTACCACCGAGAATCGAAGAATTACCTGCATATATGCCTGTTCAGAGACCCTGTTGTCCTCCACCGGTTTGTCCACCAATGCTTCGTTGTCCATCACCACCACCTTGTCCAGTTTCGTTTACTTCTTGTACGGCCTTACCTCCTTCTTGTCGGGTACCGATAGTTCCTAGTCCTTGCATTCCATGTCCTCCAATTTGTCCTTCAAGGGGTCCTCCACCATTGCGTATAGTACCATGTTGCCCAACTTCATTACCATGCTATCCAGGTGAACTTTGTCACAATATTTATTACTATATTTATTATTACTTCTTTGATAAGAAGTTAAGTATTATACTAATTATCTATTGAAGAGTTCAAAGGAAAAATAATACGAAATATTTCAAATATGATAACCGAAAAAAAAAATAGATTTTATATGAATTTTTTTTCTTGTTTAAGAAAAAGAAAGAATACAAATTTTTGTTTAATTAAAATATTAAATACAAAAGAATTGTTTTTAAGAACAAATTTAATAATTTTTCTATGCTATTCTGAAATTAATTACGCAAAATCATTACAAATTATAATTTTATTGTTGTTTTATATTTTTCAGTTTCTCACTGATGTATGATGATAATATATATAAGAAAAATAAAACTGTTTTTGAAGAGTCTGTGAAGAAAGGTAATCAAATTGATTTCATCAAAATAAATTTTTTTTAATGCTATTGTATAATTGTAGTGATAATTGATATTTTAATTTGGCAAGTGTCAATGTTGCATACTACAGGACAATTGTATTAAAGGATTCTTGGACTATTAATCAAGTATGAAAAAGGGCAAAAAAATTGTAAAAATATTATTTGATATGTTTTTTCGGTAATCCTACATTTTAAAACTTTAACGTGCAATGATAATTTTATTATAATGTATATAATATATAATGTAACAAAAAATATGAATAATTCTGAAAAAAGATTGAGTTTTATTAGAAATAAGAATCAATATTTCTGTTTCTAATTATAAAGTTTAATTGAAGAAAAAAGAAGAACAAAAATAGGAAATATTGAAATTATGGATAAGGTCAGTAATTCGAAGTAAACGATAAGACATCGTACACAAGAATTTTATTCGTATGTCGATACGGTCCCATTCGAAGTTTAAAATAATCATACTCATCTCGAATCGATTTACAGGATAGAGAATCTTTCCTTCTTAAACTAAAGCCTAGCATACAATAAATCCATGAAAGTTTTAAAGTTTTATTACAATAGTAATAGCTATGAGATATCCACTATCTTATAATAAAAGCTTAAAAGTTAGTGGAAAAAACATAATTACTACTTTTGAGACGCAAAAATTGATAAAGTCACTGCAATTTAATTGGTCACGGATAATTATCGATCACTTACCGATAAATTTATACATATTATAATACATACTCTGCTTTCTCGCTTCTTTTTTAAAATAGATATTTTATTCTCACTTTTTCTGCTTCTTTTTCTTTCTTATATATAGATATTGGAAAGAGATTTCCATTTAGGTATAGAAATTTTTTCAGAAGAATAAAAAATTCTTTAATCGTTGCCTTCGTCTCATATAGGATGTATTATTTTAATCTTCAGACGCAATATATTATAGATTCTTCTTAAAAATCGTTTCAAATAAAATTTTGAACTGTTATTGAACTCCAAAAATTGATTTTCGATCAACGATTGAAACGATTGATCATTAAAATCTTATTTTTTAAAACGGTTTTTCATTTATCTTGATATAACTTCCGATTTCAGAGATATCTCTCATATAAAAAAAAAAAGAAATAATTTTTCAATCAATCATTTACTTTAAACTTGATTAAACTCTATTAAAATTAAACAAACCGCTGTAACTCTGAAGATAGTGACTTCCGGATAACGAGTGAACGATCATTAAAAGCGTGGAAACTTCCTCTTTAAAATGCATTTTTATTTATTTCGATACAACTTTCGATTATTAAGATATCGTGTAAAGGAAAGAGTAATTTTTAATCGTTTATTATCTTTGTCCTTGTTGTTCACTCGAATCTCTCGCTCGCACTTTATTTTATTGATCTATTCCAAATTCCAGACAAATGATAGCCGCGATTCCTGAAAAAGTAATATGCAACTCTTAGAAAGATGTATGTATTTCCAGAAAATAATGCAGATCAGGATCACGAGCTCATTCATAATTTCCACGTTATATTAAGTATTATGAATACTTTGAGTCTTTATATCTCGGCAACCATTTGAGATATCGCTATAAAACAAAATTTGACAAAATTTTTAGTTTCTTTTAATGTTTTTTTATGCAAGAAATTGAAGTTTCATTTGTGATTCTGTGATATAAAAAATTTAGAAACATAATTGCGTCCGAAGACTAAAATCGAAATATTATTTTGTATAATTTTTTTAATCTTTAAAGATATACTTATTTAATTGAGTGATAAGTTAATTTTTTTTATTAATCTTTTGTAGTATATTTGAAGCTATTTGGAATAATCTGAAATTTTGGAATATTTTCATTATATTTTTGATTTTTATCAATTAATCAAATTTTTCGACGATTAGTTTAAAAATTTATTATACAATAAAATAGAAATAATAATAAATAATTTTGAGATTTTTCAGATTTTTTTAAAAGTTTTTTATTTTTTTGAAAAAAGTCCGAATGAACAAGATGGATTCAAAGATACTATAAAAGATTAACGTATTATCTGTATATTATAGAATTAGCAAATGTTAAATATTATTATATATTATAATGTAATTTTATGTTACATGAAAAATTCTTTGCCTTCAATTTCTGATTGCTTAATTTTTATTAATTATTAATTATGTAAAGAATTCTTTTAAATTTATAGAAAGATTATAACGATTTATTATTTATAATTGATGCCTAGTCAAATATTCGATGAGTACATAAATATTAATTGATAAATAGATGAAAAAATTGCATATCTAATTTACAATATTGATGGATATTTTAATAAATGGCATAAAAATATTTATAATTTACTTATAAAATTAAAAAGAATTCAATATCATCTCAATTGCAACTTACGATTAGAAAGCTTAAATTTGTAAGTTTTTTTTAATTTTCGATTTAATACAGATAATTTACAAATTCGATATGCCTGTTTTGATTATTGAATCATAGATAATCGCAACAATAACAATTAATTTATTTAATTTTTGGAGAAGAATTTAATTATAAATTTATCTAGAATTTGTAACTTATAATATTCTTACAAAATAAAATTAAATATTTTATAATATTAAAATTAAGTAGCTTTCACAATAATTACATATATATATATATATATATATAATTAAATTTAAGATAATTAATTTTAATATAATTGCTATAGTTACCTATAATTCAATGATAATTAAAATTTATTTATTTGATGAAGACAAACTTTCATTTAATAAAGAATTAATTACTTTCTTTAATAAATAACAAATAACAATGTAAAAATTATAATTATCGATAAATTTAGAAAAAAAAAACTATATTATTATTTAG